CCAGTTCTGCTGCAGGACTTGAGCTCCTCATGGTAACATCTGGATCCAGTTCTGCTGCAGGACTTGTACTCCTCATGGTAACATCTGGACCCAGTTCTGCTGTGGTCCCTTCTAGAACTGATTCTGCTGTAGGACCTGTGCTCCTCATGGTACCTCTTGGACCTGGTTCTATTGCAGGATGTGTGCTCCCCGTTGTAAGTTCTGTACCTAGTTCTGTTGTGGGATATGTGCTCCCTGTGATACCATCTGGAACCAGTCCTGCTGTAGGACCTGTGCTCCCCATGGTACCTTCTGGACCTGGTTCTGTTGCAGGATGTGTGCTCCCCATGATACGATCTGGACCTAGTTCTGCTGTGGGATATGTGCTCCCCATGATACCATCTGGAACCAGTCCTGCTGTAGGACCTGTGCTCCCCACGGTACCTTCTGGACCTGGTTCTGTTGCAGGATGTGTGCTCCCCATGGTACGATCTGGACCTAGTTCTGCTGTGGGATACGTGCTCCCCGTGATACCATCTGGATTCAGTCCTGCTGTAGGACCTGTGTTATTCATGCCAGCTCTAGGGTCTGGTTCTACTGAAGTACGTGCACCTCCCATGTTACCATCTGGGTCCAGTTCTGTTAGAGGATGCATGCTCACAGTACCTTCTGGACTCAGTTCTGTCATAGGATCTGTGCTTTTCATGGTACCTTCTGGAGCTGGCTCTGCTGTGGAATATATGCTCCACATGGTGCGTTCAGGACCTAGTTCTGCTGCATGTTGAGTGCTCCTTACGGGACCTTCAGAACCCAGTTCTGCTGAGGGATGTGAAACCCAAGAGGTCCCTTCCAGACTTGGTTCTCCTGTAGGAGCTTCACTCTTCGTGGTACCTTCTGGATCTGCTGCTACTACTACAGGAAGTGTGCTCCCCATGGGATCCCCTGGACCTGGCTCTCCCAGGCTGTGGTTACTCCATATGGCAGCATTTGCCTGGAGCCTTGTGGTAAGGGCTAAGTCCTGCTCTGCATTAGACATGGTGCTCTGTGTGACACCAGCAGTCTCCTGTCCCATATTGCGTTGGGTAGCACTAACAGCATCCCATCCTGCCAGCCCCTGGGTGCTCCTGGTGGAACCAACCGGAACGTGTCCTGCTTGAGGCTTGGTGCCTAGTGTGGTCCCCACCAAAGCCCAAGGCCTGGTGCTCTGGTTGGCTCCCACAACAACCCGCTCTGCTTTGGGATGGGCAATCCACATGGTACCAAGCGGATCCCGTCCCACTTTGGGTCGAGTGATGCGGACAGTGCCAGCTGGATCCCATCCTGTCTTGGACCTGTTACTGCCAGCTGGATCCTGTCCTGCTTTGGTCTTGTTGATGCCAGCCGGATCCCGTCCTGCTTTGGTCTTGTTGATGCCCACCAGATGCTGTCCTGCTTTGATTTTGTTGATGCCAACAGAATCCCGTCCCACCTTTGACCTGTTGGTACCAGCTGGATCCAATCTCACTTTGGTCTTGTTGATGCCAACAGAATCCTGTCCTGCCCTGGACCTGTTGATACCAACTGGATCCAATCTCACTTTGGTCTTGTTGATGCTAACAGAATCCCGTCCCACCTTGGACCTGTTGGTGCCAACCAGATCCAGTCCCACTTTGGTCTTGTTGATGCCAACTGAATCCCGTCCCACCTTGGACCTGTTGGTGCCAGCTGGATCCCATCCCACTTTGGACCTGGTGGGGCCACCAGTCTCCCGTCCAGCCTTCAGCCTGGTGACGCCAACTGCCTTGGGCTTGGTGCTCTGGATGATGCCAGCTGGATCCTGTTCTGCTTTGAGTCGGGTGATCCTGATGATACGGATGGGATCTCGCCCTGCTTTGGTTGAGGTGGCACTGACTCGACCCTGTCCTGCAGATCGTGTCATGGTGCTGGAGACACTGGTGGTAGGATCCTCTCCTGAGGATCGTGAGGTAGTGCTGGGGACACTGGTGTGTGGATCCTGTCCTGTGGCTCTTGCACTGGTTCTAGTGACACTCACGGTTGGATCCTGTCTCTGGGGATGCGTGGGAATGATTGTGGTCAGAATCTGTCCTAGAGGACGTCGAGGGATGGTACTGGCTGGACCCCATCCTGGGGGAGATGGGGAGGTCGCCACAGGTGACAAGTCTTCTGGCTCTGAAAGCAGTGAGGAAAAATTCAGTCCCCTTCCCATAACCCTTCTATTTGTCGGAGTCCTCCCTTTCCCCTCACCAGGGTGATTCTCGGGGACAGTGTCCAGCCTCAGAGGCACCCAAGAGGCTGGGACATCCCTTGGGGACATGTTTTTGGGAGCTCTGGAAGGGACCCCAGCAGGAAGAGGCATGCACCGTGTAGTCTACGCCCACAGAAGTGACAGGGTACAGGATATAGGATCACTGCCCTTTACCAGGTACACCTTACCTGTGCAGATGACAGCGGCGTCCTCTTGGTGGTCACAGTTGTGCCTGCCCCAAGGCCCAGCTGGGCAGTGCCACAGTGCAGCCTCTGTCCCACTGCACTTCACGTCATCCAGCCATATGGGGCCAATGCCAGGGCCAAAGTGGGCGCTGCGGAGGGCTTTGCGTGCGGCCCCACAGCCCAGCTGCCTGCAGACCACAGCCGCATCCAGCAGGCCCCAGCCATCATCACAGACCGTGCCCCAGCTCCCAGCATGCAGCAGCTCCACGCGCCCTGCACAGCGCCCAGGGCCCCCAGCCAGACGCAGCAGGAACGGGGCTGGGGAACAGCCAGCACCGCATTACTGCCAGCACCAACGCAGCTACTGCATTTGGAGATGGAGGCTGCATCCCTGCATCTTCCCTGCTGCATCCCTGATGTATCTTCATCCTCTTTCCATCTCCCCTCCAGCCCACCTCCATTCCTCCTCCATTCCCTCTCCACACCCACTCTATCTTTTCTCCATCTCCATTCCATTCCCTCTCCATGTCTTCTCCATCTGTCTCCAAACCCTCCATCACGTCTCTTCCACCACACCTCATCCCCATTCCCCTCACCACCCTCCTCCATCCCTTCCCCATCCCCTCTCCTTTCACAATCCATCCCCAACCCCATCTCATCTCCATCCCATCTCCATTCCCACTCCATCCCTTCTCCTCCTACCTGTCTGCGACGTCCCTGCTATGGGCCAGCTGCTTGGTGTAGGCTGAGGGGAGGTGGTGCTGTGGGGCCGGACACTCACACGTGGCACAGCAGAAGGGGGCACCAGCAGTGACCTGGTGGGCAGCTGTTCGGGAGGGGGCTGCATGGGGTCTACCCCAGTCAGCTCATCTGGGGGAGGCAGGAGAGCAGCGTGAGCCTGGTGGTGCACTGTGCACACCTGCCTTGTGCATGCACCTCACCCCATGAGCTCACATGGTCACTGCTCTCTGCATGTGTTCACATAGCATATGCACTGCACCTTTTAATGCTGCTGCGTGCAGCACACCCTGCTGCCACCCTGTTTGCAATTTAGCTGCACATGCACTGCCTCAGGAGCACTGCGTGAGCACGGAGACTTCATACAGAGTGCATAAACACTGCATTTCTCTACGCCATATGCATGAACAAGAGCACAGTGAGGTGTGTGCACGCTATCCATGACTGCATAGAACTGCATGCATGCCAGGAGCATACTGCACTTCTCTATAGAAATGCACGTACTGCATGCACACTGGGAGCACACTGCACAGCTCTGCAGAACTGCATGCACTGCAGGGAGCACGCCAGGCTGCATGCATGATGCATGGGCGTGTACCTGCACAAATGACAGATGCATCCTCCCGGTGGTGGCAGTCGGTGATGCCCAATGGTGCAGCTGGGCACTGCAGCAATGCCGACTCGTTCCCCCAGCACCTCACATTGTCCATCCAGATGGGGCCGGTGCCCTCACCAAAAAACGCCCCACCAGGTGCAACCAGCGCAGCTCCACAGCCCAGCTGCCTGCACACCACGGCCGCATCCGGCAGCCCCCAGCCATCATCACAGACTGTGCCCCAGCACCCGGTGTGCAGCAGCTCCACACGCCCCGCGCAGCGCCCAGGGCCCCCAGCCAGACGCAGTGGGTATGGGGCTGGGGAATAGGGCACCCACATTGCTGCTGGCACCAACTCTGCTGCTGCGTTTGGGGATGAGGCATGTGTCCCAGCTGTCTCCCTGTCTAATCCTCTCCATCCCTGCTTCTTTCCTGCAGTATCCCATCTCCACCCCACTGCATTTGCATTCCTTCCCTCTGCACTTCTGTCCACCTATCTGCACCTATCCAACTCCATTCCCACCCCCATTTCTTCACTACTCCATCCCTTCTCCATGTCTTCTCCATTCCAGAGACTTCTACTCGCCTTCCCTTCCCATCTCCTTCCCCAGTCCATCTCTAATCCACTTCCAACCCATCCCCTCTTCATCTCTCTCCATCCCCACTGCATTCCCATCTGGCTCCATCCCCTGTTCCTTCCCTGATACGTCCTAGCTCCTGCCTTTCCCATCTCCATCCCCTCTTCATCTTCATCCATCTCTTTTGATTCCACGTCCACCCCATCTCATTCCCTGCTTGATCCCCACTCCTTCCCTCCTCCCCCCCTTCCCTTCTCCACTCCCTTCTCTATCTTTCTCCACCCCTTCTGATTCCAGCTCTATCCCATCTTCATCCCTATTTCTTCCTGGCTCCATCCCTGCTCTTTCCATGCTCCTTTCCCACTTCATCCTTTTCCCCTTCCCTTTTCCATCCCATCCACCCCTTCTCCTTCCATGCTCCTTCCCAAATCCATCTCATCCCCATCCTATCCCCATCCCAGCTCCTCCTATTCTCCTTTTCTGTCCTATTACACTATTTTATCACCATCCATGCCATCCCCACTCTACCCCCACTCCATCCCCTCACCATCCCCACAACCATACCTGTGCATGCTGTCACCTGTGCACCCCATACCATATGTTCCAATGCACCCCTACATCCCCGTGCATGCTCTGTGCATGCTGTGAAGCCTGAAACCCTGCACCCAATCCTAATGCATGCTGCACCCATGCACTCTATAACCCTGTCTGCACACCATATGCAGCTCTGCACATCATACCCGCAGAAGTTACACCTGCCATACTGCATCTGTGCATCCCATACTGCACCCTGAACCCCGTGCAATGCTCATGGCCATGCAACACTCACCATCTGTTGGGGTGCTGCCAGCAGTGCCAGTGGGCTCCGTGGTTCCAGGAGACAGCAGGGGATGAGCTGTAGAGATGCACGCCATGATGGGGGGCTCCCTCTTTTCTCCCCTCCCTCACCCTCACGCCCGCTGCCCACCCGAGCACACAACGCTGGCATCCTCCTCGTGGGCGCAGACATGGCTGTGCCACCCCCGGTGCCGGCACTGGACAAGGCGCTGCTCATCGCCGCTGCACCGCACGTGGTTGAGCCAAATGGGGCCGGAGCCTTCCCCAAACCAGGCTCCCGATGGGGCAGCCAACGCAGTCCCACAGCCCAGCTGCCTGCAGACCACCGCCGCGTCCGGCAGTCCCCAGTCGTCGTCGCAGATCGTGCCCCAGCTCCCGGCGTGCAGCAGCTCCACGCGCCCCGCACAGCGCCCGGGGCCCCCAGCCAGGCGCAGCGGGAATGAAACTGAGGAATGCCATTGCATATGGGGCCACCAGCACCACCAGGACCCACCATCACCCACCGTGTGCTCTGGGACTTGCTGGGACCCATTGGGATGGGACTGCTGGGATTGTCTGGGATGTACTGAAACCCACATGGAAACCTGCGTGCTCTGGGGTTCCCTCTGGGTTCCCACTGGGAACTGTCGGGACCCTACGGGAATTTCTGGGACCCCCACATGCTCTGGGACCTATTGGAACCCACTGGGAACTGTTGGGACCCACTGGGAATTTCTGGGATCCCTATGTGCTCTGAGATACTTTAAGCTGACCGACTGGGACCTACTAGGAACTGTTGGGTCCTACAGGCAACCCTGCATGCTCTGGGACCCTGGGACCTGCTGGGACCCACTGGGATCTGCTCTGGGACCCATTGGGACTTGCTGGGATCCTGCATACTCTAGGATCAACTGGGATGCACTGGGAACTGATGGGACCCTCTGGGAATTCCTGGGACCCCCACATACTCTGGGATCTATTAAGATCAGCTGGGATCTACTGGGATCTGCTGGGAATCCGACATGCTCTGGGACCCACTGGTATCTGCTGGGACCAGTGTGTGCTCTAGGACCCCTCAGGACTTACTGGAACCTCCTGGGACCCCCACATGCTCTGTGATCTGTGGAGACTGCCTGGGACCTACTGGGAATGGCTGGTACCCTCCCATGCTCTGGGACCCACCAAGATTTATCGGGACCCACAGGGAACCACTGGGAGCCACTGGCACCACTATGTGCTCTGGGACCCATTGAGATCTACTGGAAGCGGGTGGGACTTGCTGGGACCTACTGAGATGTTCTGAAACCCATTGAGAGCCACTGGAACTCACTGGGACTTGCTGGGATCTACTTGGACCACTGAGTGCTCTGAGACATTCTGAGACCCACTGGGATCTACTGGGACTCAACGGGACCTGCTAAGACCCCTGCATGCTCAGGGACCCACTGGGACCTGCTGGGATCTATTGGAAACTGCTGGGATCTACTGGGATTTACTGGGACCTTCAGTATCTGGGACTGCTGTGTACTTTGGGATGCACTGGGATCATGTGCATACACCAGGGTCTACTGGGACCTAGAGGGACCCATTGGAGCCTACTGGGACCTACTAGAACCCATTGGGATGCAGTGGCAGTGACAGGAATGCTGTGGGGCAGGGACCCTCAACCCAGCCCCATGCCAGTACCTGTGCCAGGGAAGGCCAGAAGCCCCACTGGAGACGAGAGAGGAAGTGAGGGGATGCTGCACCTGCCCAAGCCCCTCCAAGAACCCCAGGATGGAGCCATGGAGCCACAAGGAGCTTGGAGCCAGGGTTCCTACCCGGGGTGCAGGACTCAGCACCCGGAGTCCAGCAACGAGCAACCAGTGCCCCATTCCAGTGACCCATGACCACCGTCATCCCAGTGCCATTCCCAGTGACCAGGACTAGTTCCATTCCCAACGCCATTCCACACACCTCATGACCAATTCCATTCCCAGTGCCCCACGACCAGTTCCACTCCCAGTGCCATTCCCAGCGCCATTCCCAGTTCCATTCCCACTGTCCCATTCCCAGCGCCATTCCCAGTGCCCCATAACCAGTCCTATTCCCACAGTCCCATTTCCAGTGCCCCATAACCAGTTCCATTCCCAGTGTCCCATTCCCAGTGCCACATGACCAATTCCATTCCCAGTGCTCCACAACCACTGTCCCATGACCAGTTCCATTCCCAGTGCCATTCCCAGTGTCCTGACCTCAGTGCCATTCCCAGTTCCCCAAGACCAGATCCATTCCCAGCGCTTCACGACCTGTGCTCCATGACCAGTGTTCCATTCCCACTGCCCCATAACCAGTTCCCTTCCCAGTGTCCCAGTCCCAGCGTCATTCCCAGTGCTTCATGCCCACTGCCACACCCAGTGTCCCAATCCCAGTGCCATTCCCAATGCCCCATGATGAATTCCATGCTCAGTGCACTCCCAGTGTCCCAATCCCAGCGCCATTCTCAGTGCCCCATGACCAGTTCCTTGCTCAGTGCCATTTCCAGCATCTCAATCCCAACCTCATTCCCAGTGCCATTCCCAGTGTCCCACTGTCCCATTCCCACTGCTCAGTGACCCTTGACTAGTTCCTAGTAAGCATTTTTCAGCGCCCAATTCCCACTCCCATTCTCAGTTCCTCATGACCAGTGCTCAATGCCCAGTACCCTTCCAGTGTTCAGCAATCACAGACCACTGCTATCTGCCCCATAAGCACTGCCCCACGCCCAGTGCCCATTTCCCTTCCCAGTGTTCAGTTCCCTTTCCAGTGCCCTGCACACCACAGAATACCCAGTGCCCTGCCCAGTGCACCCACAGCCTTCCCACTACCCACAGCCCAGTGTCTAGCACCCAGCACAGCTTGCAGTGCCCACTCTGCTGCAGCGCCCACTGCACTGCCTGATGTCCACTGCAGCACTACCACAATACCCCATGCACTGCCCAGTGCCCCATGCAGAGCCCAGACCCCTGATGTGCCCAGAAACTTTGCAGCACCCCTGCAGTGCCCAACACAGCGCAATTTCCCTGCTGCGTGTGCAGTGTCCTTGCAGTAATCCTGCAGTGCACAGCCTCATTGCATTGCCCTTTGCAGCGCCTGTCGCAGTGCCCAGACCCTTACAATGCCCACACCATGCTCAGTGCCTGTGCAGTGTCCAGTGCAGTGTCCAGCTTGCCTGCAGTGTCCACGTGGTGTCTGCTGTAGAGGGCAGCCCCATGCAATGCCCGGTGCAGTGCCCACAAAACACGTAGAGCCGTGCCCATGTAATGCTCAAAGCAGTGCCCACGCTCTGCCCAGTGCACACCTCTGCAGTTCCAATTGCAGTGCCCATGCAGTAATCATGCAATGCTCAGTGCAGTGCCTACACAGTGCTCAGAGAAGCACCCATGCAGAGCTAATGGAATGCCCATGCAATGTCTAATGCAGTGCACATGCAGTACCCACGCGGTGTCACAGTGCCCAAAGCAGTGCTCAGAACAGTGCCCATGAAATGCACAGTGCAGCATCCGTACAGTGCAGTGCCCATGCAGTGCTCAAATATTGTCCAGCACAGTGCCATGTAGGGCCCACAGAGTGCCCATGCAGTGCCAAATGCAGTGCCCATGCAGTGCCGAGCGCAGTTCTCATGCAGTGCCCAGCACAGTGCCTTGCAGTGCTGAGAGCAATGCCCACGTAGTGCCCATGCAGTGCCCAGCACAGCACTCAGCTCCCCTTGCAGTTCCCACACCGTATGCAGGATATACTCATGCTGTAGCCATGCCATCTCCATGCAGTGCCATGCAGTGCCATGCAGTGCCATGCAGCATGTGCTCACCCAGCAGCAGCAGGGTCGGGGCCATGGCGTGTGCTGGTGCAGGATGGAGGAGGCCCGGATGGAGGCGGCGAGGCCAGGGATGACTCAGTGCAGCCGCTTGCTCCCCCCCTTGGCTAGGATGGAGGGGGCTGGAGATGGGGGGCACAGGATACCCCTGCGGTGGGACATCTGGTCTGTGTGAGGGGTCCTGCTGTGGGGTCTCCTGGGCACTGCCTCCATTAACCAAGGCACAGAGGGGAGTCCTCCGAGGATAAGGGTTAATGCTGGGGGGGGGGGGGGGGCGGGGGGCGTGCGGGCACACACTGCATGCCACTCCATGGCACTGC